ACTCTGATAGTTTTTAACTCAATCTAAGTTTTTAACTCTATCTAGTTTTTAACTCAATCTAAGAGTTCAGGTATTTATAAAAAATAAGCTATATTTTGATGACAGAATGTAAGCTGTCTGTCCCCTGCCTGCTTACTACGCTCTTGCTCGCTTGCTTTCAGGAGCATACGCAGCAGCTCAGCCCAGCAGCCAGCTCTCATCTCCAAAGTAGTTTACTTACCTATCCTGAGGTCCAGTTCCTGCCTGACTTCAACAGCATCACTAGTTTTTTGATCTGGCTGGGTGAGATTCTCACAGGCCCTTCTGACAGCATGAAGTGTGATCTCTGAAAAACGTGCTCGGAATACCTGGATGTTTGGCTTTACTATCAGACAAAAAAAAAAAATCAGAGTAACTCATACAGCAATAGAAAGCATGAGCTAATACACTGCTGCTATCTTTGAAAGTGTATGCTGTCAACCTATTCTATATCTTTCCAACGTATTAGTGTATTTCTGGTGTATCAGAGCCATGTATCTACCATAATTACAGCCAAGAGATTTGACCTGAACACGCTAAGAATGATAACAGAGTAAGGATGATATCTGTTACTATATCTGAGCAGTGATACCTGATAAATCATCATTTTAATGGAAAGCAGATTGATGCAACAGATGCTCTACACACCAGCTTTGCAAACATGAATGATCTCAAAACCGATGTTCTCTCCTTCTCGATCACAGTCAGTCCAGATGACCAGAGCTTGGCATTGCTGGACTTCTCGTTCCAGGGTTCTCTGAGATGAGAAAAAAAAACACTGAATGAGACCTACTCAGGCCACTCAGTTTGACATTTAGTTTTAGAATGACTCACAAAAAGAACATGAAATGCAACATGTATCCATAGAGATGGATTGTTGCAATAACATTTTGCAATGGTAACTCTCAGGAGATTAGGCAGCTTTCAAAAGAAATGAATCATTTATTTACTCTCTGTTAAAAAGCACTGCTTAGATTGGATTGTACCACAGCCTGCTTTTTGAAAATGTCATTTTTTTGTAAAATTGAGGTGCAATTAGCTGTTCCAGCTTGTTGGAAACAGCATTTCTACTTTTAACAAAGTAACTGCTCCTCTACTGTTCTGATTTTGTACTAGCAGGAGACTTCAACATTACAGAACACCACAGTACTCCTAGAAAATCCAGGAGGAATTTGCCAAACTCTAGAAACTTTTAAAAGTTAAGGACAAAAGTAAAATCCTCCCTTTGTCTGAAGTAATATTTGTGGAATTAAACTCTGAACTCTAACTTTCAAGAAAACTTTTAAAAACAACATACCTTAATATCCACATAATTCTCAGGACAATATTTCTCGATTTCAGCATCAAAGAGAGCTAGAGGGTTACAGCTATTCCTGGTAAACAGAGGATAAACAGTGTGCATAACAAAAAAAAACACTGTCAGGCATTAACTCCCACTGTCTAGTGAGAAAATGCTGTTCAGTACTGGAATTAGTAATACTATACAGTGTGCTTTAACTTAAGAATTTGTGTGAAATGCTGAGCTGTGTTTACTCAAAAACAATAGAACCAAAATACAGAGAAAAAGAAAATCTGGAAGACAGCCCTAAATGAGCAGCTTCTCATGTTTCACACACAAAGAACAAAACACCTTGCTTCCCAGGAAAATTCTTATTTAAACAAAGAACACAAAAACTCCAGTTTTCAAATCAATTTATTTCCTTGAATTGGCCCTCCTGTATTTTAACCAGTATTGAAACTTGCTGGGTTTTCTTGTTTGTTTTTAGGATTATGAAAACAATAATCTGAAATAATATTTTAGCTATCCTGTAAATAATTTGCTACTTATCAAGCTGCTCGGTGTGGCTGCTTGAAGCATGCTGTGCCACTGCCCTTCCCTGTGGATGTCTGCTACTGGAGCTGGCTCTCCTAGCTGATAAGGTACGGCCTCAGGGGCACCACCACATTCCCTCCAACAGTGTGGCACATACGACTATGGCAGCCCTGCTGCAGGGGTGCCCTGCTCAGCTCAGGATCAGAAGCAGAAGACAAGCTTCAGACTTGTGAGGATGCAGTAAGTACACACCATTTGCGAAATGGCAGCTTGAAATCATGAGCCAGTAAGTGTCCTGACACGGATGTCATCACCATAGTAACGTTCTGCAAAAGATAAAGAAAGGTAATTAGTGCTCATCTTTTGCTATAGGCTACCCAGAGCCCCAAAATCCTGACATAGTTCTCAACTGACACAAGCAATGATACCTCTCTCCTGCTCATTTTAACACTCCTTTCCCTATAAGCAACTAAACCTACATCTTTATCCTGATTTTTTGTAAGAAGCTTCCAATTCTAAGAAACAAAGTTTTTGACAAGTGGGAACACAGAACGAAGTTGAAAGAAAAGCTAAGAAGAGAAAATCTGACTCTTCCTTGTCTTTGGACAAAACTGGTTATGCATTTCATAACTTCAGACAAATTTTGTTTGCTTTTTAATAACTACCATTTTGCATTTCTCCAATCCAGCAGTGAAATGAAAGAAAACTCTACCTGGCCAAACATCTGGTAGTCATATTCGTAGATCTTGTTGAACTTGGAAAACCCTTCTCTCTAGAAGGAAAAAGAAAGCTGCTGAGTTTCTGACTCCTACCAGAAGTCAAACACATTCCATCTCACTTTATATAGACTGTTATGGCAGGGCACAGAAATATAGGGCAAGTGAAAATTGGTTACTACCTAAAACAGAAAGACCAAGGAGGTTGAACGAATATTGTTTCATTTTTTAAAAACAATAAACAATGAGATGGTGCTTTCCAATGTAATAGTATTTTAAAAAAGCCTGAAGGGGATGCTGGGACTACCACCCTATGGATGGTGAGGACAGACAGATTTGCTTATCAGGGCTGGCCAGTTACATCCCCACTCCTGATAAACAGCTGTCTTGCTCTAAACAACAATCAGTGCAGCAGTTCTGGGCCCCTCCCACCTGAGATTTATGGAACTTTCTACATGGGACGTTTGCATCGTTTCCTACAGAAGTATGACAACACCTTACTTGATTGAGTGTGTCAGTGCTCAATTTCTTGGTAATACAAATGCATTCAAATGTAATTCTGGTGTAGAAGCACTGTCTAGTTCCTTAGCTTGGAAATACCAAGTAGTTATTCAAAAGGCAAAAGGTCACAAAGCAAAGCAGCAGCAGAGATCTTTGAACTCTTCTCCAAACCACAGACCATCTTTGCTTTATTATGTGAACTTCAGTACACCCCTGATACTTGCTGACGCTGCAGAAGCGGCATTTTTTGACTGGGTAACACATGCCGACAGATGGTTTCAGTTCCTAAAGGCTTTTACATGTACTGCAGCGCTAGGAACAACAAAGGGAACCCCCACTGCTGAGCTCAGTGGTTGGTGAAGGAAGTCTGGGGAGAGCGCACAGCTGGGGAACTGAATCCCAGCAGGACTTGAGGCAAAAAGAAAATGAGTCCAGGACTCCCAGCTATATCTGGGCAAGCAGTGTTTGACCATTTCACATATGAAAGCTGTTCTTGTACCCTCATGTGGTCAGAAAGAGCCAGAGGCTGTGTATCAAGCTCTGCACAAGACACATAGCAGACCAGGACTGAACTACATGGCCGCTGAACATAGGCTCTGGTGAGCTGACCACCTTCAGCCAGCTAAGGTAGATCTGCAGGCACATGAGGAAGTGAGAAGTAGTGCATTCCTACCCGCCGCATTCTGCTGTTGGAGAGCAGATCTGCAATTCCTCGGGCAGCATCATTCTTCTCAGCAACACACAGGACCTTCCGGATCCTCTGCAGTGCTGAACCCTCTGCAGCCCATGAGAAGCTGCGCCAAGGCTGAGGCAGCATCCTGACCCCACAGCTAGCAAGAAGCCTGGCTTGAAAGTTCATCACAGGTAACTGTGACAGCTCCCACGGCACCAAGGCATTGTGCTGTTTCCTCCCTCCTGGGCTGGTCCCTGTTTGGGAGACAGCCTGCTTTAGGACCACGAGCAATGCCTGAATGCCACAGAATCTAAGAAGCCGCAGAATGGTTGGGTTGGAAGAGACTTTAGAGACTGTCCAGTTCCAACCACGGGCTGGGTGCTCCCTCCAGCTCAGGCTGCCCAGGGCCCACCCATGGCCTCGGCACCTCCAGGGACGGGGAACCCACCGCCCTATGAGTGAAGCCTCTTTTAGTTTAAAGCCCTCTCCTTCTGCCCTAACTCCACACTCTCTGACAAAGAGACAAAGAGTTCACCGCAGCCTTCTCTTCGCCAGGCTCATCACGCGCAGCTTTCAGCCCGTCCCCACTCCGTCCCCGCCCGCTCCCTCCGGACCCTCTCCTTCAGACCCACCCCCACTGAGGGCTGCGGGCCCAGAACTGAGCGCAGCGCTCCAGATACGTTCTCCCCTCCCCACCTCACGCTTCCCTGCATCCTCCTAGGCAGTTTTTAACCCGCACGCAGAGGACGGCCCAGCGCATCCCGCCAGCCCACCCCAGCGCGGTTCGACCTCCTCAGAGCAGCGCAGCGCGGGGCGATCCGCCCTCCGGCGCCGCGATCCCCTCAGTCGCCGCCACAGCCGCTCCCGCGCTATTTCTGTCGCAAAAAGTGGCGCGTTTTCCCTCCCAGCTACGACCTGCCGTAAAGCGCGGCAGCACGAAGAACTACAACTCCCATGGTGCCCCGCGGAGCCCCCAGAACGCTGCTGTTCCCGCGTCAGTGCGTTCTCTGGTTTTCTCCCGCTTCTAGGCCCAGGACGGCTTGAAGCAAAGCGCATTTGCGATTAAATCTGTCTGAGGACCAACGACAGCGCCCGAACGGCGGGAGCGAGGCGAGGCTGCGGAGGCGGCGGCTCCGCTTCCGGGCGGCGGGGTGAGAGGTCGCGGCGTCATGTGAGCCCAAGATGGCGGCGGTGCCGCGGCGCCCGTGAGGGGAGCGGGGCCGGGGCTGCCCGGCCGTGACGGTGGTCGGGGGGGGCCGGGGCGGCCTCGGCGCTCCATGTCGGGGCCCCCCCTGCGGGAATAATGATCAGCGCCCCCGACGTGGTGGCCTTTACCCGGGAGGAGGAGCTGGGGGACGAGCTGTACCGGGAGCCGCCGCTGCCCGAGGAGTACTCCGTGCCGCTCTTCCCCTTCGCCGGCCACGGCGCCAACCCCTGGGCCAAGGTCGCCAGCTCCAAGTTCAGCCGGGACTTCATCCTCATCTCCGAGTTCTCGGAGCAGGTGGGGCCGCAGCCCCTGCTGACCATCCCCGACGATGCCAAGGTGCCGGGCAATTTCGATCTCAATTATTTCTCCCTTCGAATCATGTCGGTGGATTACCAGGCTTCTTTTGTGGGACACCCTCCCGGCTGCGCCTACCCCAAGCTGAACTTCGTGGAGGACTCCAAAGTGGTGCTGGGGGACTCCAAGGAAGGGGCCTTTGCCTACGTGCACCACCTGACGCTGTACGACCTGGAAGCCAGGGGCTTCGTGAGGCCCTTCTGCATGGCCTACATTTCTGCTGACGAGCACAAAATCATGCAGCAGTTTCAGGAACTCTCTGCTGAGTTCTCCAAAGCCTCTGAATGCCTGAAAACGGGGAATAGGAAGGCATTTGCTAGTGAGCTTGAGAAGAAGCTGAAGGATCTTGACTACACCAGGACTGTGCTGCACAACGAAACTGAGATACAGAAGAAAGCTAATGACAAGGGGTATTACACAACCCAAGCCATTGAAAAGGCCAACGAGTTGGCGAGCGTGGAAAAGTCTATTATTGAACATCAAGATCTGCTAAAGCAGATTAGATCATACCCCTATAGGAAGCTGAAGGAATCTGACTTCCACCCCTATGAGCCTGAATGTGCACTGGATCAGGGTGGTGCAGGCAGTGCACAGGACCTGGCTGCCTCAGACCCTGCTGAGCCAGGGGAAATGCACCTCTACTCCCGCCTGCCCTCCTACACTCCCAAACTCATCAAAGCAAAGCCTGCCAAATGCTTTGACAAGAAGCTGAAAACGCTGGAGGAACTCTGCGATATTTATTTTTTCACCCAAACCCTAGATCAGCTGCATCACATTGAGAGGACTTTCAGAGGTGATGTGTGCTACCTCCTGACAAACCAGATCAGTAGGGCACTTCTGAAGCAACAGAATGTAACTAACTTTCTATTTGAAGATGTATCTTTTCTAGATGGAAAAGCACCTGAAAATCAATACAGAGGCTGCCAGGGACTCAGTCAAGATGCTGCTGACAGAAAGTGTTCAGAAGAGTCCTCTACTCCTAAAGTGGTTATCAGCCTGGGTTCCTACAAGTCTAGTGTGGAGTGCGTCCCAATCAAGATGGAGCAGGACATGGACAACACTCAAGAACCTGCAATGACAGAATCCATAACTTTTGAACACCAGGAGAACCTGGACTATCTCGATGCAGATCTTAAAGGGAGTATCAGTAGTGGTGAGAGCATTGAAGTTCTTGGAACAGAGAAATCTGCATCTGGGCTGATGAAATCGGAGAGCCAGGCCAGCTTGCCCATCAGCCCAAGCCCCCAGGTGGGCAGGAGCAAGGTAGGCAGCCGGAGGACTGTCAGTGAGGACAGCATTGAAGTCCTCAGTACCTGTCCCTCCGAGTCTCTTATCCCAGAAGATTTCAAAGCGAGCTACCCAAGTGCAATTAACGAGGAACCTTATGTGGATGATGAAGAGGGAGGCCTTCGTTTCAATCCCAGATTAAACCCAAACAACACTGACGAGCAGGAGGATATCTCAAACCAGGAAAACTTGGCACAAATTGATTCTGCCTGCTGTATTGGGAAGGAGAGCCCTAACTTCCTCGAGCCTCTACCCGAACTGGGCCAGAAGCAGTGCGATGAGGATGGTGTGGTTAGGATTCCCCCTCAGCCATACCGGCAGGCTGAGCAGGGGCTGCGTGGCAGCTTTGTGGGCTCCCCACCCTGTGACAGCACTTCAGGGGGGCTCCTTCCCCACGAGCTCGACTCACGCTACCCCACAGCAGGCAGGGAGGTGAGCAGGACCAGCCTGGATGAGTGCTCAGACTCCACGAGCTACATCAGCAGCGCTGCCTCCACCTGCTCTGACCGAACACCGTCTCCTGCTCACCCCGTGTGCCTCGCGAATGAGAGGCACAAAAAGAAAGCTGGGCAGAATGCGCTGCGGTTCATCAGGCAGTACCCCTTTGCCCACCCTGCAATATACTCTCTGCTCAGTGGAAGGACCCTGGTAGTGCTGGGGGAAGATGAAGCAATAGTCAAGAAGCTTGTGACCGCACTCTCCATCTTTGTGCCGAACTGTGGTGCTTATGCCAAACCTGTGAAACACTGGGTCACTTCCCCTCTGCATGTGGTGGATTTCCAGAGATGGAAGCTGATCGGGCTCCAAAGGTAAACTGGGGGGCTTTCTGCTTCTTGGTGTTGAGGTATATGATAAAAACTGAGTCTACTAAGTGGGGAATTTCAGAGGGGATTTGATGTGCAGAGGCGTTCTCTTTATGTAATCACCTACACAGCTGCCACAGATTTCTTCTTCTGGAATGTATCTGTAGGAGGGTGGTGTGTTTGTCTGCTTCTTTACATTCAGCCTCACTTAAGAATTAATTTAAAACATCTGCTGGGCACTTACTGCTTGGCTCAAAATGTTTAGCTAGGAGGTTTCCTGATGTTTTAGATCTTTAGTCTAGCAAAACAAGGGAACAGACACAAGTCCCAGTGATTTCCTGGCTGGTCTGATAATGAAGCCCTCTTGAAGGTCCCCCTGTGCTTTGCTAGCTTTCCTATCACCTCTTTCCAAAATTCTCAACGTTTCTGGCTATTATTTCTGATATGTTTCTGAAGTGAGTGCTCAGGTATGCAGGCACCTCAGCTTGTGTTGACAGGAGCATTCCTGCTGGTGTCGGTGAATGTCCTGTGACACCTGCGTTTCTGGTGAAGGACAGAGGTGCAAAGTCAGTGGATGTGCTGGATTTTCTTGGAAAGGTACACGTAAAGAGAGTGTTTATAATGTGCTTTAGTGCAGGAAAAACAAAAACAATGCCTGAAGAGCTCATCAGGCTGTAGAGTTGGAACTGCAGCTCAGGTGCAAAGGGGGCCTGTTCAGGGCAAAGGGCATCACTAAGGCAGACGTCCCTCCCCCAGCACCCACTCCTAAAATGTGGCTTTGTAGTTCCTGTTAGCAAGTAGCAATTGCTTAAGATTTTGTCCTTTACTGTTGTTATGAAAAGGATTTTCAGTGTGTTACCAGGATGTGTTCCAGTGCTTTGGGTGCAGATATAGCAGGTGGCAGGGAATGCCCACTTCTGTCACTGAGGTGGAAAGAATGAATCAGAGTGGCGAGAAGAATACCCATTGCTCAGAACCAAGCTGGAATGGCTTCTGAACGAGTGTTTCTGAGCATCTTGAAAGCTGAAATGCAGAAATCTTTTTTTCCAAGCTGCTGAGTATTGCATCTCTGGTGGTTGTGGATGACTGAATAATCCCAAGCTGTGAGCTCACCCTCATTTTTGAGTTTGTGGGATAGGCTGCCAGGTCTGTCAGCAGTTCTTTCAAAACTTCTCTGCTGTTGGTGAGATGTTTACAAGCCCTGAATGTTTGCTGGCTGATTAATGTTTGTGGCTAGATGCAGTTTGTGTGATGAAAAGTCACTTTTGTTTAAAAAAAAAACAACAAAAAAACCTGCTTGTAAGTGTGTCAGTCATTCAGACTCTTCTCTGTGGAATGTTAATTGGTTGTTGAGTTTAACATGGATGCTCTCAGCAAACCATTTATATGAAGGTCATAGGAAGGAACTTGGAGGCTAAATTAATTATTTAAGCACAGCTGTAAGGGTGCTGTTCTCACAAAGCCACACTGCCTGGGCACAGGGGCAGCTCTTGCACCAGCAGTTGGTGCTTCTGGTTTGGGGCTGGGAGCTGCTTCTCACCAGAGCAATTTGAACCAGGCAGAACTGCAAAGCAGAAGGTAGGGTTTGCGTAGGCTTGTAATTTGCATTTAAATAGCATTAATTTAGGCTTGGTGAATAATTGCACATTGTGAGCGTGCTGCAGATTTGCATCTGGGTGAAGAACGCCTAGACTCAGCCAGGGAATATTCTGGTCTGAGGATGGTTCCCTTTTTAAAGGAGGGTTTTGTTCCTCTTTAAGCTCCTCAGGGCAGCTCCTTCCCAAAACAACCAGACAAGAGGAAGGTGGGCCTTGTGGCAAGGGGATTTCTGTTCTCTTATTGTCATATCCAGAAGGAAGCCAACAGCTGCTGCAAGATCTGCTTCTGTTACCAGAAATGTCGCTTCCCTCCCTCTCTGTCCTCATTTCTGCATCTGTGAGGGGGAGGAAGCTGCCCACAGGGCTGTGTTTGTGAAGCAGCACACAGTCAGCGTAGATCAGTGCATGTGGGGATCCAGGAGATGGAGGTTCCCTTGGGGTCTGTCAGACTGGAGAGGCTGTTTGGCCATCCTCTTCCATGCCAGCCTTAATTTGCCCTCAGCAAAATGTATCAAAAGCTGGTGGGAACTTGGGTGTGATACAGGAGCATGGGCATTCTGCTTCGTAGCTCCCTGGTTTCCTCCAGCTTAACCTCTCTCTTGCTCTTTCAGGACTGTGTCACCAGCTGGAGTGAACGTGCTGCACGCCCTGAGCCGCTACAGCCGCTATGTCAGCATCCTGGATGCAGACAGTAAGACGCTCCGCTGCCCGCTGTACAAAGGCTCCTTGGTTGCCAGGCTGGCAGACCACCGCACGCAGATCAAACGGGGCAGCACCTACTACATGCACGTCCAAAGCATCCTCACCCAGCTGTGTTCAAAAGCCTTCCTCTATACCTTCTGCCACCATTTGCACCTTCCCATCAATGAAAGGGAACCGGAGGAATCTGTTGTGAACCGCAGGATGAACTTTCTGAAGCTTCATCTGGGCCTTGCCAATGAAGATATTAAAATTGTACAGTATTTAGCTGAGCTGCTGAAGCTGCAGTACATTCAGGAACCTGACCAGGGGGTGAATCCTCTGCTCAGATTTGACTATGTTCCCAGCTTTTTGTACAAAATCTAGCAGCATGTAGGCTGTCTGCCTGCATACTCGGATTCTGATAAAGATCATCCGTGCTTGGCATTGATGCTGTCTGCAGTAGCTGTCATACATCAGGAAAGGGCAAAGAAGCCATTGTATTTGCAAGCATTTCTGCGTCATAGAAATCAGTGTCTGAGGGACTGAATTTCAGTGTGGTTCCCTGTTGCTGAGAATGTAGGTGTTCCATCACGTAAAACACTGGGCACTCTGTTTTTAAATGTTAAAAGGAACACTATTAACTTTTAAAATATATCATGGTAGCACCCCAGGGGGATTGTGGAATGGAGGGAGAGATGAGCAGTGCTTAGTGGTGTGCAGCTCCCAAAACATGCAGGACTCTGCACTTCTGCTGGAGCCATGAATGTTGTTGCTCCTTTCCATGGAGCCAGGGCAGAGACCAGCAGGGAAATATGAAGGCCACATGAAGTTTTTAACTCAGTAGTGTCTCATGTTAGCATGGGATGTAAGCAGTGTACACGTGGAAGCTCCCTGCCAGGATAGCAGTGTGCATTTACCTGCGTGAAGCAGCAGCTGGTGGTGTCTTTTCCATATTTTCTGAGTTTCTTGGAGTTGCTTGTCCCTGGGCCTGAGGGACAGCAGCAGAGGCATGTGAACTTCCCTCCAGATAGTGTTTGCCAGTTTCTCAGCTTTGTTAAAACTGGAATGGAGTTGAACTCCTTAAGTATGCTAGCACCAAGGCTCTGCTGCTGTGAATGTAGAACACTGTGCCTTGTTAATTTGTCACATCCTGTTTGCTGGGCAAGCTCTGAGAAGGGTGGGAGGGAGACCAGGAATCCTAAAAACTAGTGAAGCTGGGAGTGACCTGCTAATGAGAGATGAGGTCTGAACTGAATGGGCTCTAAGGTGTTTTTTGTGATGGAGAGACAGACAGTGCAATTCAGCTGAAGCTATGCTGTGAGACAGCAAGCCTCTGCAGCAGGCTGCCCAGCCAGTGAGGTACTAGTGCTCAGGAGAGGGCTGGCAGGAATTGAGTGAATTCCACATTGTATCTGTATAGTTTCTATTTTTGTTGTTTCTGGGGAATTGACTTTTGTTCTTGGTGGCAAAACCAGGTCAGTGTCACCGCATGCTGCTTCTGGCTGTGCCAATTTACTTTATTTTATTGCCAAGCCTTTGCCATGTCTCGACTACCTCTCACACTCTGCTCTGGGTGGTTCAGGACAGGGCGGAGCTGCAGATCTCTGAGCCCAGACACAAGCACTTTCCTTCCGAAGCTTCCACGCTGCTGTCAGTGCCAGAAGGGCAGTGCCACCATCAAAGTGATGCAGCTGGAAGATTGTTCCCTTTGGCGTGGGAGCTTTGTGCCGGACACAGCGCTTCCCTCTGGAGTCTGGCAGAATGTACAACTTGTTGGCTGCAACCTGCTCTGTCCCGTGCTGTGTGGCAGCAGCTGCTCCTGCCGTACTTCTGAGCAAGAGAAAGAAGTTTCACTAGGAAAGGTAGCCTGGTTTTATTTCTTTTTAGCACTTTTCTGATTAGGAGGAGAACAGCTAAGATTGTACAAGATTAGTTGAAGTTTTTTTTTTTTTTTTTTTTAATTTTTATTTGTTTTTTAAAACCTATGTTTACCATGATCATGCTGGAATGGAATGTGATCCTTCCATGCCTGGGGAAGTTTCTGTGTGGATGGAGGGTGTGGTTTGTCAGCATGAGCCTAGACCCTCTTGAAACATGCTGTGATAACTGTGCTGCTCGGAATCCTGTGCCCCAAAGACAGGGAACCTCTGTGGGGAGGCTGTCATCCAGCCACCAGCATCACCACTTCAGTACCAACCTCCTGCTGCCCTGCCTGCAGAGGGCCCTTGGAGCAGTCCAAGAGGTACTAACCAACAAGGCAAAGAGTCTGTTTCAAGTAGGTGCATCACTTGTAGTGGCTTACAGTGAGGCAGCTGGGATGCTTGAGCTCATGCCACTCTCCTGAGGGGTTTCAAGGCCAGGGATTGCTTGTGCTGGTCTCTTCGGCATGCAGTGGGGAAGCGGTATGGCTTCACGTTTGCTGAAGGGAAGCAGTGTGCCTGTGCATGGGGCTGCACACCCTCATAGCATGTTCAAAGACCTTTTCCTTCTCAGATGCTATCTGTGTCCTCCTGTACACTGTTGTCGCATGTAACTGGGTCTGCTGGTGAAGGACTTTCATGTCCATAGAAAACGTACTTTCTGAAGTGGCTCGAGGTGTCTCCTTCATCTATGTGCACCTGGACGACTTCCAGTGGGATTCCCTGGGATGAGGAAGGCACCAGGCAGTCTCAAGCTCCCTGCACCCTGCCTGACTCACAGCTCTGGAAAAGCTTTCGTCACAGCAGCTCATGTTTTGTGCTGGGAAACTACCTGCAGTGTTTGGGTCTGAGGAGGGACAGGAACTCATTGCCTCCTGACTCACGTGTCTCTTCCTGCAGGCTGACAGCTCAGAGCAGCAGAGCAGGTTCGATGATCTGCGCTGGCTCATTTAATAGTCATAGTGGTCTTTATCTGGAATGTTCAGCTGCCCTCATAAACTGTCAGATAAGTCACTTCTCCTCTACCAAACCTAAAGTACTGATATTCAAGGCTGTGTTGAGCAATACTTGCACTTCCACCTGTCTGACCTGCTTTATCGCTCCACCACAAAGCACTTCTGAATTTTGGAGGATGCCCTGGGGGCTTCGTTGGGGCTGTCACCTGTGTTATCTGCACCCGGGCCACTGGGAGGGAGCTGTGTGGAAACATGCCTGGGAGCATTTGTCCTAAGGTCGCCTTGTGACAGAACAGCCGGATGGCCCCGAGCTCACCTTCCTGCACAGGGCAGTGAGGAGTTGTGCCAGGCTCTGGGCAGTACCTAACTGAGGTTGCAGTTGAGGGCAGTCAGATGCAGCTAGTGGGTCAGGAGCTGAATTCCTCTTTGCTCAGTCATTTATCTGTCTTTCTGATCTGACTGCACAGTAAAGATCCCTATATCAGCACTTTAAGATGTTTTCCTCATCTTCACTGTGTTACCTCACTAGTTTCCAATACTGGCAGACTTGCAACAAGTTAAGATCTTACTAACAGCTCCTGTGAAGAATCCTAGCATGTGTGTTAGCTGGCTCGTGCCACACCACAGTCCTCCAGCACGAGCAGGGCTGATTTCCCACAGCCTCTGCATGATGCTGCCCAGCCTTCCTGCATCCACCCTCCATACCAACGCCAGCAGTGTTGTGCACAGCCCTGATCTGCTCCTGTAAGTGCTGCCTCCTGCCCTGCGCTCCTGCATGCTGACTGCAGCTCCATCCTCTCTGCTGGCTGCTGTGGGATGAAGGCTTTTAAGGCCAGTTGAAGAATTCATCAGGGGAAAAGCCTCCCGTGGCTGCCTGGCTGGGAGGGCAGGGCTCAGTGTTTGCGTTCCTCTTGTTCCCTGCATTGGGAGACATCTGTTCACTTGTGCTCTGAGCTGCACTGCTGGCCCCTCTGGGATCCCACCACGAGGATGGTCAGCCATAGGAGTAGGCGATACCAACCCTATGCAGGTTGCATTTCTCAGAGGATAGTGCTTGGATTTTCTTTCATCCAGTAGCAATCACTTCTAAGCAGCTCCAAAGCTGTCTTGCCTTGACTAGGGAAGCACTGCCTATACTCTAGCAATATTAACCATTTTGTAAGGGCTGGGAGAAGAACTTGAGGAGTGAGAGCTGATGTCTCCCTGCCCAAGACTCGTTCTGTGGTTTTCATTCAACACTGGAATGAATGCAGGCAGCCCTGAGCCCACAGTCTTGGGGCAGGTGACTGCCCACACTGCTGGTTTGGCATCCTGGAGAGCTGGGCAGAACCCACTGCAGGACACGGGGCTTATAGCAGCGCTTTGGAAAGGCACCTGTAAGTGTGCTGGGCAATTCAGTGAGCTGTATTGGCTGAAGGAGAGTGCCAGCTCTGTGCTGTGCCCCAAAAGCACAATGTTAGACTGAGCAGGACTGTACCCTGCTATTTGAGGGAACCTTGCACTTGCTGCCAGAGCTGGGGAGGTTGCAGAGCTGTGGCTCACTGCTCATGAGATGTGTTTTAACTGAAAGGCAGAAACACAGGGTACCCAGCCCTGCTGCTCACCCCGGTGCAGGGCGAGCACAGATGGGGATGGGGCTGGGGTAGGAGCTGCCTCTGAGGGCTGCGAGGAGGCTGTGATGAATTCTCATCTTATTTTAAAGCACTGTATCCTATTACTGCATGTTGAGTTACGTGTGTGTGCCTGTGTGTACCGAATGCTTGTGTCAGTAGTTAGAGCGAGTGTGACGGGAGAAGTCCAAGAAGCATGTCTCAGTGTCGTGCTGTGTTACTGCACAAGAATTTAACAGATGTTAACACCAAATGACTAGTCTGAAAAATGTACTTTAAAAAAAATTATTTATTTGGGTTCAGATATTTTTGAAATACAAAAATTGGTTGTATTTTTTAAAGCTTATAATTCTTGTCATACATTGTGGTTAAATTCTTAATTTTACTGTGCTTATTAAAAAATGGTTCTATCTAAGGTATGTCCTCAGAGGTCTGAGAAACCGCTGGAGGTCCTGGCTCGTGCTGTGGTGGAGCTGGACTGGTGGCCCCAGCAGGGCTGTTCTCTGGGTATGGGATGAGGCTCAGCCCTGGCAAAATGTGTGGAGACCCAAAAGGAGAGCTGGTGTGTGTGTAGGAAGGTGAGTCTTGGAGGCTGAAGCCAGGAAGACTTTGTAAGGCTGTGCAGCTCCTGGGCATTGGACCCTGAGTGCTGGTTTCTGGTTGTCCCTCCTGGCTACGAAGGCAGACAGGAGGCCTGTAATCTCATCTACTGCTCCTACAGCAGATCAATCCCAAACCTTGCCTCAAGGTCAGGGATTTCCTTCTTCTGAGGCCCATTTGTAAAATCTAGCAGTGGAAGGGTTGGTCTGTGCTCAGAAGGGCTCCAGTGTCAGAAACAGGAGGGGAGAGGTGAGGAAGAGCCAGATGAGGAGCTGCTGCATGGGGCCAGTGCCAGCAGGAAGGTGCAGGGAGAAGGCACCAGGGCTCTTTCCAGGGGTGTGAGTGTGCCACAGTCCCTGATGCTTCCTTGGCTCTGAGAGTGGGGACAGTGCCTCCCATTACAGGACTGGCAGTCCTGGGAGGGGAAAGGTTGCTGCAAATGCCTCCACCTCTTCCTTCAGTGCCTTTAGCTCTCCCTGGTATTTTTCCTCCTCCAGTTTCTCCTTGAATTCCTTCAACGTGGCCTTGGGGCTCATGTCCCTCTGCACGCGCAGCGTCAGCTCGATGCCTGGCGGGAGGGAGATGAGTGGTTCAGCCCCATCAGCAGGCAGGTTCCACTCCTAGCAGCTCTCTCAGCCCTGCCATGGCTGGCAGGGTTGGGGCTGCTCCCCAGGATGCTTGGGAGAGGAGGAGCTGGGCTGCCAGGGGACTTGCTGCCCTGTGCCACTACCACCTGCTTGAGGAAATGGGACCCTCACCTCTGTGGATGTACTGAGCCACCACGCGGAAATCATCCTGCTGAAAGCCACGGGAGGTGAGAGCTGGTGTCCCGAAACGCAGACCGCTGGGACGAAGGGCACTGACATCACCTGCACCAGAACAAGCAGTGTGTGACCTAATTCCAGAACTGCTGTGCATGGGGATTTGGCCTGGCCCCTAGTGGCTGGGAGTTCTGAGAGAAGTTCCGTGTGGCCCTCGGGAGCACAGGGCACGAGAGACACCCAAGCACATGGGGCAGAATATGCTGGAGCTCGTGGGATGCCTACCAGGGCATGTGTTCTTGTTGCAGGCAATGGAGCAGAGTTCCAGCACTCGCTCAGCCCGGCCACCGTCTGTACCTCTGCTGCGCAGGTCCAGGAGAATGAGGTGGTTGTCAGAGCCCCCTGCAGAGAGAGGAGAGTTGAGGTGAACACTTGAGATTTCAGCAAAAGAAAAAAAAAAAGGCTTGAGAGTGCAGTGTTAAGAAATAGTTTTTCAGAATTCTGAGGAACTATTCCAGCAAAGCCCTGCCCACCATGCCCATGCACATGTTGCCCCAGTGGTTGGCTCAGACCTGGGGCATGAAGCTGGCCCCAACCCAGGCAGCTGAGGCTGTTCCTTACCTGTGACAATGTCGTAGCCCAGCTCCATCAGTGCTGCTGCCAGTGTCTTGCAGTTGGCCACCACCTGCTGCTGGTAAGCCTTGAACTCGGGAGTCATAGCCTGCTGCAGTGCCACAGCAATCCCTGGGGATGAGGCACTGCAGTGAGCTTTTGAGGACCAATAAAAGTCATCTTGGGAGCCAGGAAAGCTCACGGACAATCCCTTTCCCTAACCGTGTAGGATAGGAACAGCTGGGTTTCTCTCCCAGCCGCATCAAGCTGGCTGCTCTTTGCTGCTATACCTCTCAGCTGGAGCCCTCTGCACTCAGAGCTGAGCCAGGACATCTTTGTCCCCTCCTCACCATCCCAGCCCAATGCAGATGCATACCTGCAATGGCATGGTTGTGTGGCCCTCCCTGCAGCCCAGGGAAGACCGCTTGGTTGATGAGGCTCTCCAGGTTGTAGAGTGTTTCCTTTCCTGTCTTGGGGTCCGTGCTGCGGATGCCTGTGGGAGGAGAGAGTAGGGTAAAATACAAAGCAGCTCAGGAAAGAAATTATGCTTTTTCTTCAAATCTGAGCCTTTGGGATGCCCCAGATCTTTCTGCCCTTCCTCTTTCCCAGCTGGAGCAGGAAGGAGCTTTAACCTGCAGCTCTCCTGGCCTGGGTGGAGTGTTTCTCCTGGCTCAGGTCAGGCACCTTTGCGATAGAAGATCATGCCGGCCCTGCAGCCCCTCAAGGTCTTGTGGGTGGTGGTGGAGACAACGTCGCAGTGTTCAAATGGTGAGGGCACAACACCTGCAGCCACCAGCCCGCTGATATGGGCCATGTCAGCCATCAGGTAGGCGCTGTTGGCATCGGCAATCTGTCGCATGCGAGCATAGTCCAAGTTGCGTGAGTAACAACTGACACCTGCAACAGGACGAGAGGGAATGGCCTCAAGTTGTGCCAGAGGAGGTTCAGTTTGGATATTAAGGACATTTTATTCTCTGAAAGAGTGGTCAGGCGCTGGCACTGCTGCCCACGGAGGTGGTGGATTTGACGATAGAGATCTTTTCCAACCTTAATGGTATTGTGTGATCCTGTGGGTCCCTTCCACCCTGGGTTGTACAGTGATTCTATTCTATAATTCTGCAGCATCCCACTGCAATTGCCCATTGGCATCAGGATGCCACCCTGTGTGAAAGGGTTGCTCCTTACCTGCTATAATCAGCTTGGGGTGGAACAGGCGGGCATTCTCCTCAAGTCGGTCGTAGTCAATGTAACCAGTTTTGGGATTCACCTGGGAGAGGAAGAGGAGGGTTCAGCCACCTTGGCAGGGGTAAAGATCAGTTGCTTTCAAGAGGTTCTTCCACTTATGAAGGCCACAACCTGGCTCCCACTGGAGCAGATTTCCATACCTTGTAGGGCATGGACTCGAAGAAGACAGAGGTGGCAGAGATCTTCTTCTTGTCTGTCATGAACCCATGGGTTAGATGACCCCCATCAGGCAGGTCCAGCCCCATGATTCTGCCATGGGGCTCCACCAGGGCCGTGTACACCGCAAAGTTAGCAGGTGACCCTGTGGCAAGAGCACACAAGGCAGTTCATAGGTGCTGGGGCATGCAGAGGCCTCCACAGCCTGTGCTGCCTGCCTTGGGGACACCATTACCTGAGTAGGGCTGGACATTGACACCCCACTTCTGGGGATCAAGCCGGAATGCCTGCAGGGCTCGCCTCTGGCACAGCCTTTCCAGCTCATCTACAAACTCGGTCCCACCGTAGTATCTGCCAGTAAAGGAGAGGGAAGGAGTTACACTGAGGTTGGTGTCTGCTGAGAACAAAACCTCAAGGTTAACACTAATCTCTTCATTCAGGAATGCATGCCCAAGGCAGTGCCAAGCTGTGACACCAGGTGCTGCTGTTTGCAAGCAGCAGACATGACCCTGTTACAATTACCTGGTGCATGGCCAAGGACAGAAACTGAAAGGGTCCTGCCCTGCAGGAGCTTGGTTGCCAGCACCAGGACATGGCTTTCTTCCCAGATATGAGGTCTTGAGGTGAACATGGCAGTGCAGATCGCCCTTGTCCCCTCCCTATGAGAGTTTGGGTGTCTCAGGCTCTCCCCAGCCCCATACCTCTGTCCAGGGTAGCCTTCAGAGTATTTATTGTTCAAGCAGGATCCCAGTGCCTCCAGAACTGCGCAGCTCGCAAAGTTCTCTGATGCAATCAGCTCCAGCCCCAGCCTCTGCCGCTGCTTCTCCTTCTTGATGATGTTGTAAACCTTGCAGAGAGAGAGAAAGCTTCACTTGTGCCAGCTCTTCACAGAGGTGTGGGTGCTGCATGGTGTGGGATGCACCCTCAGAGGAGTTAGGACAATGACGAGCAGCCTGAAAGCCACTGGAGAAGGGAGTACAGCTTGGTATAGCTGATCACGGTCCTGCCACGTTCTGGGTTTCTGTGGTAGATGCCACAAAGCCATCAGATAATTCAGCTCTTGCTTGGGCTGGAGCCAAGGTTAATGGCTACGCTGCCAGGTGGTTGTCAAATACTGGGCCTGGTGCAGGCATGTGAGCTCCAAATAGAGAGTTATGAGCAATGGCTGAGAAATGACAGCCATAGAACCTGCGTGTACCTGGAGGATGCCCTCTCTGGCTGTAGCAAGGCACAGGGGCTGGCCGAGTCCCAGCAGCTTAGCCTTGCACTGTGCCCCTGGTTCAAGGAGGTCGGTGTCCCTATAGCTCTCACCTCGGGGTCGTTGCTGTCAAGTGGCTCCAGCAGCATCTTACTGTGGGAGGCCCAGAGCTCTGCGCTGGGGAGGCTCCCAGCACCCTGTGCCACGTTTGCCATCTGTCCACTGCCTCTGATGCCACCTGTAAAAGGCAAGGGGAAGGTGTTTATTACAGCAATGTGGGCACTTCCAATACCCTCCTGTTCTCCCCCCACCTTGATATCGCACAACCAAGGTGTGGCTTCACCCTACTCCCCCCTTGTCCTGGCACTTGGGGATGTGGGGAGCCCATAAGCAAACATGATAAAATCAAGCAGTACTATTTCATTTTACTCAGGCTTTAGACCTAAACTTGCTCTAAACCCAAGGCAGCAGCAGCCCCCCAGCACTGAGCATTACAAAGCAGTGCACAAACTCCAGGGCAGGCATGGCAGCCCAGCTCCAGTACTGGCTGTACACAAAGTGTCTTTTTATCCATTAACCCCGCAAGGTCACAGGGGGGCCGTGAGCTGGTTGTTAAGCAATCCGCTCCGTTCAGCAGCGCGGCCCCCGCTGGGCTCAGAGGCCCGGCTGCCCCAGGGCTTTGCTGGCAGCGGGGAAGCGCTGTCAGAAATGCGGGCTGAAATGAAGGAGCGTTGTGTGGGGCGCTGTGCGAATGCACGCTGCTGGCAAAGGGCTGCAGAGAGGACAAAGCTGCCAGGGAGAGCCCCTTTGCCACCCTCCTGGTGGGACATGAGCGTGGGCACGGCCCTGAAGTTTCACCTGCTGCATCCCACGTGGCTTCGTCGCATCCCATATCCAGGATCCGTACCCGTGCTGCAGCACCACCGCCCGCCCCGCTCCCACCTCGCACGGTCCCTGCCCGCCCGCCCGCCCGCCCGCCCCATCCCTGCCCGCCCCGGCACCGCACCGATACGGATCCCGATCCCGGCCCGCTCAGCCGCCCCGCGGCAGCCCGCGCGCCTAGCATAGGCTGCCGGGTCACACCCCTGCAGCTCTCGACCAATCAGCGCCCGAACGACGAACTCTACGACATCTCTTCGTCCAATCCGCGGCGCGCTCCGCCTCCTCCCCGCTCCCCATCACCCGCGCTCAGGCGGGGCCGGCGGCGCTGCCGGCACGCGGGTTGACCTTGGCCGGGCGGGGGGCTGCGCCGGGCCCTGCGCACACGGGAGCCTCCCACTTCCCCAGCACTGGGGCTCCCTGCCAGCCCTGAGGTGCTCCCCGCTGCCCCGCATCCGACCGCCCTGGTGGCGTGGCTGCTGGCCGGAGCAATGCGCTGAGCCCGGCGGGTCCGCTGTGCGTGGTGCTCGGCCACGGTGCGGGCCGGGGGCACTGCCTGCGGGAGCAGAGCCTGCGCTGCTCCCTGTGCAGAGGGCAGCCCTGCTGCACTGCGGGGTGTCCCGGTGCCTTGGAGGAATGTTTCAGCCCCGGAAGGATGAGGCTTGCAGGCAGGAGTAGTGCTGCACTGTGTGCTTCAAACACAAGCAGGCTCTTGGGTTTGGCCAACCTGACCCAAGAGACCACGGACAGAGCTTCGGGGGTTAAATCAGCATGCTGTAAAATGAGGAACAGAGTTAGGAAATAAGCAGTCCCAGTAAATTCCTTGTGATCCCAAGTGATGGAAAAGCAGAGTGCACACTGTGAGTCACAGCATGAGGAGCAGTGTCTCAAAGCAGCGGGGTTGCAGTGCGTGGGGCTGCGGGCAGAGCGGGAGCAGTGCGGTGCTGCGGTGAGTGCCGCCGGGTGCTGGCGGCGAGGGGCGCTGGGTGCGGAGGTGGGTGTGTGGGTACAGGGGTGGCTGTTGCACCGAAACTCACCTTGGATACTGCTCTGCCTGGACTGTACGTGTCCTTAGGTGCTTTTCTCCCAGGTAACAGTGATAGGACAGAAGGTAATGGCCTTAAGTTGCAGTAGGGGATGTTCAGGAGGGATGCTAGGAACAATTTCTCCTCCCACAGAGCAGTCAGGCACTGGCACTGCTGCCCAGGGAGTGGTGGGGTCACCGTCCCCGGAGGTACTCCAGGCTGTGGAGATGTGGCACTGAGGGATGTGGTCAGTGGGCACAGTGGGGGTGGGCTGGGGTTGGACTTGATCTTGTGAGATCTTTTCCAACCTTAATAATTCTATGATACTATGATAGCTGTTGAAGGAACAATCTATTAACTTAATAATTCTAACAGTTTTTAGCTCTGTTAATTTGTCTTCCATCACCAAAGAGCTTGGCCACAGCTGTGCAATTTGGGTTTTTGTAGTTCTGCTCTCAGCCCATAGCCGGTTGCTGTCACAGACTCTTTGTGGATGAGTTGTTCTGACACTGCCAATGCCAGCGGCGGAGCCTGGGCTGGTGTCTTGGGTCACAGGGGGACAGGGAGACAGGGCAGATGCCAACCCTCTGCCCGCAGCCCCCTGGAACCGCTGGTGTGGAAAGAGCTGCAAGCAAAAAGATCTTTGATATCCTTTATTTTCCGCTTCCAAGTGTTAGTGGGCTGGCTGTCAGTGTGGGTGACAATCTCTGTGGGCATCCAGGGACTTCCCAAGAGATAAGTAATTGTTTTAGTCTTGGTTGGTCCTGTCTGTAAAAGCTTGCAGCACTGGGACTCTGAGTCTCTGAGTTGTCCCCGTGGTGGCTGAGCCTCTGCTCAAATGTCTCCCCTTCCTGCTGGCATCACCCTTTCATGACAAGATCAGACCAACTCAAAACTTTTGGACTGTCTTCCTCCCTCTGTATCGGTTCACTCGGATCTTGCTCAAGTGGCTTAAATTCCTTGTGCCTCACAAGTATTTATCTGCCATTCTGAAACTCGAGGTGTTCTATAGAGAAGTATGTTCATTATTAAGCCATTCTAAGTGCACATTTCATCTTTGCATATCCATTTTGTGTACGGTTGCAATCAAAGATTCTCCCCAAAGCTATGGGAGCTGCAGATAATAGCAGTGTGTGCTGTTATGGTTTCAGGACCCCAGCTTTCTGGCAATGGAGACCGTCTCTTCTTCTCCATCACCCTTCCCTGACAGCTCCCCCTCCATGCCCTCTGGGAATGCCACAGCCCATGACCACTACTCTGGCCTCCAGAAGAGCCTGCATGTCCTCTCCATGGTGGTGTACAGCATTGCCTGTGTGCTGGGGGTGACAGGGAACGGCCTCGTCATCTGGATTGCAGGCTTCAAGATGAAGAAGACGGTGAACTCAGTGTGGTTCCTCAACCTGGCCATCGCTGACTTCATATTCACCTTTTTCCTGCCCCTCAGCATCGCCTACACCGCTCTGGACTTCCACTGGCCCTTTGGGAAGCTGCTGTGCAAGCTGAACAGCACCATCGCCTTCCTCAACATGTTCGCCAGTGTCTTCCTCCTGATGGTCATCAGCGTGGACCGCTGCGTGGCTGTGGCCTTCCCCGTGTGGTCCCACAACCGCAGGAGCCCAGAGCTGGCAGCCAGGGTCGCGCTGGGGACGTGGGGCATGGCTGTCCTGCTCAGCTCCCCGTACCTCATTTTTCGTGACACTGCGGTCAGTTCTCGCAACATTACCAGCTGCTATAACAACTTCGCGCTGTCTGATGACTACACAGCCGAGGAGACACGGAGGTTGTGGAGGATGCGGCACAAAGCGATGATCATAACACGGTTCTTATGTGGGTTCCTCATCCCCTTCACAGTGATTCTCATCTGCTACAGCGTTGTTGCTGTCAAGCTAAAAAGAAGGCAACTAGCCAGCTCTGCAAAGCCGTACAGAATTATCATTGCCGTCACAGTCTCATTCTTCCTCTGTTATTTCCCCTATCATGTCTTCTCCTTGCTAGAAATATCTCAAAACTCTTCCAGTCATGAGATGAAAATGGCCCTCTACATAGGAATCCCCTTGGTTTCCAGCCTCGCTTTCTTCAACAGCTGTATAAACCCCATCCTTTATGTCTTTGTGGGGCCAGATTTCAAGGAGAAATTTTGCCAGTCCATCCTGTCGACCTTTGAAGGGGCCTTCAGTGAGGAGTCAATGCTGGGCAGCCTGAGCAGCAGGAGGAAGTCCAGGTCTGCCTCGGAAGCAGAAGTCCCAAGGCTCTGACTGGGCATGGTTCAGCATGGGCACCACTGCAGGGCAGTTTTCTCTCTCTCTTTTTCTCTCTTCTCTTTTTTTCCTGCTGATTTGTCACAACATCCCATTTTTAGCAGGCGACCCTTTGTAAAAGTCACTGGGTCTGTGACTTTGCTGACAGTACTCCCTTTATTTTCCCTTCTCTCCAGTGTCCTTCAGCCATGAGAAGCAGCCCCTAAGCTCAGTGGGGTCACTTTGTAGGCACCCGAGTCTGCATTGCCACTGGGTTCATCCCCAAGCCGTTCCTAAATGGCAAGTTAGCTGCTGAGAGGCTGTGTTCTCTGCACTTGCCAGGCTTTCCTGGCAGCCAGTCTTTGCTGGGATGCAAAAATTCTGGGGTTCCACCAGGGGGCAAAATTGGATGCAGGTGTGCTGGCAGCAGGTGCAGCCGGCGCTTCAGCTGGCCAAGAGGATGGAGGGAAGAGCTGCTTCGTAAATTCCTTATAATTAAATCAGTAAAGAAAATACATCTTTTCCTGTGCATCATACCAATCTGGCACATGGGCTGCTAAATTTTAAGTAGAAGATATTAAATAAAAAAAAAAAAAAAAAAAGCAGCATGAACATGCAGTGGGATCTGTCTGGAGGCACTTCAGCAAATGCAGCTTTTAAAGAAGTAGGATTATATGAGATGGTTATGTGTATTTTTGTAGAGTCTGGGCTAACTTTGTCCTTTCCCTCCCACAACAAGTTATTGGTTGTGTCCCACTTACTCAGGTTTGGTGTTCAGCATAACTGTTCCTGAACAATGCTACTCCATGTTTGTGTTTGACCTGCTTCTGGCCCTTGTATAGCTGAAATGTCTCATTTTGTACTGTTGGTGAATGAATATTAAACTCCATTAAACTTATTTAAAACATACGCAGCCTGTGTGATCCATTCAAAATGTACATGCCCATGTTTGCTAATAAAGCAACTAGATAAGAAGATTCAATACCATGATTTGGAAATTGCTCCCAGTAACTCTCCCTGACTGACAGAGGCAGCCCTCAGCCTGTGTGAGGAGGTTTTGTCTAAAACCCAGTAAGGCAGAGAAGGAAGAGCAAATTTAGAATTGAGTTTGCCCAGATTTCACTTTTGCAAAGTGCTTGGGATGAAGATGGTGGTGTTATTCCCCTGGGTTTGATCAGGCAATGAACAGCTTCGATGATTATGGCATAAAATGTCAGTCAGGTAGAAGGGAAGGTTTCCATCTCAACGTGGGGCAGCTGTGTGAGCAGGTGCTGGTATTACACCTCCTTCCCCTGCCTGTAGCGTGACACAAACTGCCACTGTCCCATTTATGCTGCTAGGAAGCAGCCTCTGAGCTGCTCATGGAACCTCATTGATTCAATGGCTGGAAAATCTGTCTGAATCCCAGCCTGAATGTATGAATGTGCACGTCTCTCATTTCTGTGTGGATGATAGCACTGAGTGAGATCTGTCACTTGAACACGCGAGGGATTAATTACGGGTCTGTTGGGTCACACAACATTAAATGAAGGTTGTGATCCTACAGGCATGCATGTACTTAACCTTAAATTCATGTGTAATCTCACTGAGATCAGGGAATGCAGCAAGACCATCCATATGTCAAGCATGAGTGAACAGAAAGATTTACCCTTTACCACAAATTGCTGCCTGTCATCCAGATAAAGCTGCAATGTTTGCTATGCAGTGCAATGCTGGGGCTGTTTACTTGCTCCTGGTGGCAAATGACAGCATTGATTGCAGTGTCAAGGTTGTGCAGACCAGTGTTTGCTCTTTCTGGTTTTCTTCATTTGTTTGCTGAGCCCACATAATTCCTTGTGACAAGCACCTCTGAGATTGCTGGACCAAAGCCTTGGCCTCCCATTGCACCTCTCTCATCATCCCAGAACCCTTGAACTTGGAGCATCACAGGGATAAGAAAGGATGCAATTTTCTGGGCCATTTGGGCATACCAGATGGGTACAGGGTTCTGATGTCAGTGAAGCAAAGAGTCATATAGTATAAGGAATTGCTGCTGAAATACCAGGAGAGCAACCTACAGAGCACCACCTTCTCCCTGGCATCCCAGCCAAGTGCAGTGTTCCATTAGCACAGCAGCTTTAGCAAATCCCATTTCAGCCCACAATTAAATTGTCTTAATACCCCTCCCAGAAGTTGCCTCCTCTTTAAGTGGCACATTATTATGGTTAAGCAAAATAGTGTGCCTTCACAAAGCTTTCTCTTTGCATGATGGGGAAGGGACTTAGAGAGTTTCAAACAGCTGTTCCTGAGAACACCTGTCAAAATAATATTGGGGAAAAAATGGGAAAGGGAATGTTTTATCGACAGTAACCAACAGCTCATGGCCATTGCTGTGTTGCAGGATGGTCACAGAAATCGTTCCGTCATCCTGGGTCTGATCCCAAGCCTTTGTGCAAAGCTGACACCAGGTGTGGTTAGGCTGCCCAGGGACTGGTTCCAAGATAAATCTCTCATATCGAATTCACTTGTGTTCAGACTATTCCATTATTACAAAAATAATTATGGTAGTCCCTCATTGCTAACTAGAAGGCAGGCTATTCATTCTCTCTGATATTCATATTTGCCATGTGTGTAAATAAAAAAGCTTGAATAAAGAAAAAAATCCAAAGACAAGCAAACAATTCTAAGGGGTCAAACAGCATTTTTGGCAGCTGTGCCCCACTCTGACGCAGCTTTGCTCTCAAGGCTCTTTCAGATGTGATCAGTTGGGTGGTGCTGGGCTTCAGGAACAGCCTGAACCCCTGGTATTTGCAGTCGTTGAGAAAGGCACAGGTCGGCTGTCCTGCTGGCCCCTGCCTGATTGGCCCTGCAGAGGGGCGGCTCTGTGGGCAGGCTGACAGCTCCATTCCTACAAATAAGATTGGGATGGACAGAGCCATTTGGGGCGTGCTGGGTTCAGTTGTACATGGAGAAAGCTGAGAATAAGCAGGTTTTGGTAGCTGGGGTGTTTGGTATTAAGTAGCACGGCAGTGTGAGAATTCAGATGAGGTCATTAATGCTTTGGAGGTGGGTGAAGTGAATGTGGTATCACCAAAACATCTTGGTGACAGAGCTCAGAAAAGCTTGGCAGGTGATTCGGGCTAGGCTTTGTCATAGCAGAAAACCCAGAACCCGTGCCTTCTGAGTGCACCCTGCACTGTTCAGAGCTGTCCTCAAAAGAAGTGAGCAAGGGAAGGACATACCTTGCTACTGGTGCAGGTGGGGGGAATTATGTCATGGGCTAGTTCAGGTGAGTGAAAATAGAATGGTCAAAATCCCAAAACAACATGACTGTGACCCATTCTGATTCAATCCCAGGCTAAGTGGTACCACGTCAGTGGTCTGTTTCTAGTTGGATGAGGGTCTACCAGGATGGTATGGCGTTCTTTAGCACAAGAAAAAGTAAGCGTGGTATTTTCATTATGCTGGGGCACCACCATAGTGAAGCTGGATTTTGTGACACAGCAGCTTCTGTAAGGAAGGCAGGATCTAAGACAAGGATTTAACAAAGATCTCAAGCAGTTAAAGCCTGGGGGACTTGCAGCATGTAGTCCTTGATAGCAGTGGATTATTGCTATGCCTGGCAGTTCTATGTTTTTCTAGCAAGCATTTTAAGTCAGGATTTCAACTAGAGCTGTAGCTGCTTTGCTTTGGAGGAGAGAGTATAGCAGGTGACTTCGGAGGTAGGAGAAGCTGCAGAGCTATCAGGGACAAACCAACCAAGCAGCATCTCAAGAAGAGATTGTACTCTATCCTTGGAACCTGGAGGAGAGCATGGAAATAAAAAACTGAGCTCAGAACAGTTAAGAGGAAAGAGGGAGGGAAGAACAGGAGATGAGACAGCCTTGAAAGTACCAGCAGCGGATGATGGGTGCAGATGGATGGAGAGTGATTCAGCAGGGAAGGAAATTCTCAGTAGATGCTCCTAAATGAAACAATAAAAGCCTGTGAGAAGCCTACTAGTTCTTTTGCATTTCTTCTGGTGAAATCTCCCTGGTGAGTAAAACTTTTAAAGTGTCTCAATCCTGAACCTGGGGAATGGGCTTGTTACATAAGGTCAAGCTAAAGGCAATGTATGGAGGTCCATCATTTCTTGGTATTGCAGCTGGGTAAAGGATCCCAACCTGTACAGGTGTTTGTGTTATTGCTGCTCTGGGCTCAGCCCTGTTCTGCACCAAGCTGGGAGGGGATCAGGGTGTCCCTGCAGGTTGCTCTTTGGTCCTCCCTGCACCTCTCCTAGTTTCTGCCTAGCTGCTCTGGGCAGAGATGGAAGTCAGCAGTCTCTTTACCTTCCCCTTCCCTCCTCCCCCCTCCACCCCCTTCCCCCATATTTGTGTATGTGAAGCACAGGATCTTCTCTCTACTGAGCTCTGCTTTCATTAGCAAGCCCGCTGTACAGTGACCCATGCCTAATTCAAACCTTTCCTGAATATTCACTAAGAGCCTGTCCAGGACATAATGCATGCTCACTTCCTCTGTGTAGAGGAGCTGTAGCTTTGTGCAGTAATGCAGTAAATGCCAAGTCAAACTAGGACCTAGTGGGTAGGACAGTGAAATAGAGTGTTTGGCACTGTGTAGCTGTTCAACTTCCCTAAAATGACACCACTTCATTGTTCAGTGGCTTTTGTTTAAGGGAGAATTGAAGGGCAAACCACATCTGTAAACAAAGAGTTAAGACTGTTACACAAACTTTACAGGACACTGCTGCATGCAATCATAGCAAGCAAAGACAATACGCAAACAAAGCAGAAGATGCTACTGATGGTTCTTGTTCCAGGGCAGTGTTTGCTCAAATCCTCTCCCTTTCATCCAGCTTGAGACATTTTTCTGTGCAGTGACCTGTTAAACACTGGCTATACCAACAAGTCTGTTGTTTCTTTGTTTGAAGGCTGATAGCAGATAACTCCATGCCTGTGCTGAAGGCTGATGTGGCAGATCTGTTAATCATTTCAGACTGACCTGGAACTTGCAATACTGTTAGAAATAGGAAACAAACTAACCTGTGTTTTTTTTATATATCTATTTTCCCCAAATAGATATATTCATGACTTAGGAGGAACTTTACTATTGTAGAATGAGTTGGAGCCAGTTTCCTGCAGACAGCCAAGCCACAGTTAGGCATTAATATTTGATTAAACAAGAAGAGAGTGCTGTCTGTTTAGCCCTTCACATAGATAAGATGCCTACCCTGCTCTGGGGCCTTTCTTAAGGCACTTTAGTTCCCAGAAGTGGGGAATGCTATTTTCCAGATCACTTCCAAGCACAGCGGAGACTCAGAAATCTATTTATAGTTACTTTGAGCTCTGCCTTGCTAGCTGGGCAGTATCCAAGCTGGTGTCTTCTAGAAACGAGACATGGTCACTCCCGAGGCAGGGATTGGAGGTGGCAGCCTTGAGGCTGTGCTGAGCATGGAGGTGCTCAGTGTAAAGGTTCCTACATGCTGCAGGGCACCCCAGCAGGCTCCGGTAGGATATGTGGGGAAGAAGATTTCTTCAAGGTGCCTTGTAAGACTACTGGGAGAGACAAAACACTTTCACAGGGCTGCGTCAGGATGAAAGCAAAATATTTCTTTGGTGTGCCAAGCTCAATAACTCTTGCCAACAAGTAGATTGGCAAGAGATTTTTAACGTCCATCTTGATTTAAAAAATAAATAAATAAATACAAAGCAGCAACGAAAACAATACAAAACAGCAACCTGGCAGAGCAGTGATGGATGGAGCTTAGGAGATAGGATGACACAAACATTTGTTGTCTCTCAGGTGATGGATGCAGGCTGTTGTCCTGCCAAGTGCTGGATGAGCAGTGCCCTTCACCTTGGCTGGACTAACTGTGGGCTTTTTAAATTTATACTTTATGGCACGCTTCTTCCTGACAGAATTGCATCTGGATTAAGAACAAAAGATTTCCCTGAGCTGCTTCAGTCATACATAACAATTTTTCAGAATTCCTTGGATAACTGCTAATTGGATCATTGTGAATGAAATAAAATCCAGGTTCTCGTTTTGGGAAAGCAATCTGTTAAACTCTCAGCACTTGAATAACATATTGTAATATTAGCAAATCCCTCTCCCTTGGGACCGGAGGCTTCCATTTGTATTCCTCTGACCAGGAAAACAGAGGCAGGAAAGAAACTGATTTTCTTTGAGAAAACGCAGGCGGTTGCCCAAGAAAAAGGATCAGAAGACATAATTTTTTTAGTTCCTGGCCTGTGGTTTGCCTGTGTAAACGTCAGGAATTTGGGGCAGCACAAATCGAGCAGTCAGCAAATTCTGTGTGCCCCGAGGGTATTGAAAAATGCCTCTGAGGAAGGCTGCTGATTGCGCTGTGGGTCAGCACTTCAATGTGTGTTATTTCTGGCTGCTCTGCCATCAGCCTGCAGTGAAACCCTGTGATGAGGTCTGAAGCTAAGAAGTCTCTGCCGCTCTGTAAAGAGGCTGACAAAAGGCTCAAAGCTGCCTTCCCTGCAAAACAAAAAGGAACCTACAAAGGTCAAGGAACCCGAATCAACAGTGGGGAGCAGCAGCCTGTAAACAGAGGAGCACAGACTGGAAATAGTGGGGGTGGTGAGGAGGCATGGGGCCCATTTTATCACACTTTCCAACCTGAGATCCTGCAGACACGCACAGAATCGCTGCAGCATCGCGTCTGTGGGGACACAAACAGGTCTCACGCATCTCAGACACGTCTCTGCTCTGTGAGAAGTGCTGCATGCGGAGTGCTCAGCATCTGGCAGCTGATTCAGGTTCAACTGCTCTCCTTCCCTGCTCCGACTGCTGGCAGCAAACTGTTGAAGTGTGTATTGTGAGCTATGGGCAAGCATGTGAATGCTTAAAGCAAAAAATACAGCTCACAGTGGCAGTTTCACTGTAAGAAGTTTCAAAGTACAAAATCCAAAGTTGTCTTTGTGCATTGGGTGAGCAGTACGGGCAGCTCTTCTGTGTCTTTCATGGTGCACAGGTCTCTGCTCGGGTGCTCCAGGCCTTGTTCCAATGCACTCTGTATGCTGCAGCCCAGAAATAATTATTTTGTGAGACGGTGCAGTTAAAAGTACCTGATCTGTACCTGTACTCCAAAGGATAGAACTCTGATGCGTATACCACAAAATGCTGATCTGGGCGCCCTGAAAAGCATGACTTAAAACAGCTTTTGGCCACTGTTAGCAGAAAAAGGATTGGGAACAGTGAAGTGATCAGTGCCTGTGCGTGTGCTTTGGTGGGTGCTGGCAGGAGCTTTATCCTCCTGAATCAGTGCGGGATAACAAAACCCAACACTGCGCAGTGTACTTCACAATACACTCGGATACAGTGATACAGCTCGGATTTTGTGAGGGCGCTTCCACAACCCTGATGGATACCACTGCCCGCCCCTGTGACATCCGAGCGGGGAAAACGTGAAACGACGCGTTAACAACACGCTCCCCAAATCGGCCCTCCTCGGCGGTGCCTCAGCATCCTCCTCTCTTCCCCCACCTCAGGGGGGGGAAAATGGCGCCGGCGGAGACGCCCCTCAGAGCGGCGCGAGGCCTCGGCGGGAAGGGCTGTGGGGGGGCAGGGCGTGGCCTCACTCCCGCCCCTCACGCGCCCTCCGCCCGCCCCCCCCCCTCGCGGCGCCGCCATCTTGAGAGCGGATAACCGCTGGAGGGGCTGAGCTCCGCGCTGCCTCTGCCTCTCTACCATCCCTCCGGGCCGGGCCGCCTTCTCCCGGGACCGGAGGGCCGGAGCCGGTAGGTAAGGCCTTCAGCTCCCCTTCCACACCCTGCCCCGCACGGCGCTCCGCCGCCCGAGAAATGGGCTTCTCCTCACCGGCCGTGTGGGAGGGAGCCGCTTTCTGGGGGTTCATCGGCGGCCCCGCAGGTGAAGGAAGGAGCGGGGGTGCTGTTGGTGGCACGACGGGGGCTGAGGGACGCTCAGGCCGCCGCCCCGACGGAGTGCGGAGCGGTAGGGAGGTGTGGGTGCGGGGCTCGGCCCTCTGAGCGAGCCGTTGGGGATCAGTTGCTGCCCAGGTCGTTGTGGGGCGGTGAGAACCGCATCCCCTCGTGGGAAGGGGCCGGGCTGCCACCGGCCCGTGGGGATCGCGCTTAGAAGCGGCGGTTCCAGACGGCTGTTAATGCCTCTGTTGCTTTCCGTATTGCATGCGCTGAATTGGTGGAGGTGTAAAAGGGAAAGCCGATGGGATCGTGTGCAGCCCGTCCAGGAATTGTATTCATCATCTAATGCTGGTGTAGCTGCGTTCTGCCCAGGAGGAAGGGTAGGAGCTGATGGAGCAGCCCGCACCACGGTGTGTGTGTTTTCTTACAGCCTGGGAGATGCATCTACCTGCAGCCAGGGAGGGCTGTGGTCCCATGGGCACCTGTGGAGTCACATCTATGCACATCTAATAAAGTTGTTGTCAGTTTGCTGCCATCCCAGCATCCTTTTCCTGTTTGATGCATCAGTGTTGCTCCGCAAAACTGACTTCTCCCTACACCACACACTGTAGCTCAGTTGTTGCTGTTGCAGTACATCCACGTGTCCTTGACCTGTGGTTATGTGAAAAACTGCACATCTTTCTTCTTGGTTGTGAGTGGCAGTACCTCATTGTGGAGTAAGGTGCATCCTGAGCAGTAAACGTGAAACAGCTCTCATCTTTCACCAGATTTCTTAATTCCTCTTTATTTTCCTAATCTGTGCAGGAAGGAAGGTAACATAACTGGAGATAAAAGTTATCTTCAAATTGCCTTGTAAAGGTTTGCAGTAACAATTGAAGGTTGTCTCAACGTTGTTCCCATTATGCCAGAGAAGGATGCTTTCAGCTGATGTTCTGAGGCCTGAAAGCATTTTGAGTATACTCTCACTTTGTTGGATTGAAGATGCATTATGAGTATTGGGCAGGTGATTGCCACTGGGAGTTGTGGAAAGTAAGTGTGTGCCAGAAGGAAGGAAGAAACATGAGCTGAGAAATGGAATTCAGTTTGTATTTTTCCTTAGTTTTCCTAATATTTTTCCTTACTGGGAACCAAGTTTGAGAGGGAGATTACCTTTAAACTGTGTGTTTAAGGCAGCTGCCTTCTAGCATTTGGGAAGGCTTTTTAAATTACTATTTTTCTATTACTATCTGAAAGAAAAGACAGAAAGGGGTAGAGTGTTGCTTTAGTGGTACAGGTGTCCCAGCAGATTCTAACTGAGTCAACTACTAGGCATTAAAATTCTGCTGAAGTTGTTCCCCAGTTGTGCTTTCTTTCTGCACGTTTCGGAAGTTTTGATGACAGGTTTTTGTTTAGAGCAGTTGAACATAGCACAGCTTCTTCCTGGGGAGGTTTGTTGTTAGGAAGTTCCCAACCTCCCCTTGTCTCTTGACTGAGGATCGGTGAGGTAGTGTTTCTGTGCCTAAGCTAAACTAAGGAGGAGTATGCGTGGTTGCAAAGGTAGGCAGAATTAGTTCGTTTTGTATTTTTTTAATGGAGCTAGACAACTGTTCCTGTAGGTATGAAAATTGTTCCTTTTCTTCTAGCTGGCTGTTTGGAAGTACTTCACAGAATCACAGAATCACAGAATCGTAGGGGTTGGAAGGGACCTCCAGAGATCATCGAGTCCAACCCCCCTGCCAAAGCAGGATCCCTACACCAGGTCGCACAGGTAGGCGTCCAGGCGGGTCTTGAATATCTCCAGAGAAGGAGACTCCACAACCTCCCTGGGCAGCCTGTTCCAGTGCTCCGTCACCCTCACTGTAAAGAAGTTCTTGCGCACATTGGTGCGGAACTTCCTATGCTCCAGCTTCTGGCCATTTCCCCTTGTCCTGTCTCCGCACACTGCTGAAAAGAGTCTGGCCTCGCCACTTTGCCCCCCACACCTTAGATATTTATAGACCTGGATCAGGTCCCCTCTCAGTCTTCTCTTCTCAAGGCTAAACAGACCCAGCTCACTTAGCCTTTCCTCATAGGGGAGATGCTCCAGGCCCTTCACCATCTTTGTGGCTCTCCGCTGGACTCTTTCCAAGAGATCCCTGTCTTTTTTGTACTGGGGAGCCCAGAACTGGACACAGTACTCCAGATGAGGCCTTACCAGGGCAGAGTAGAGGGGGAGGATCACCTCCCTCGACCTGCTGGCCACGCTCCTTTTAATGCACCCCAGAATGCCATTGGCCTTTTTGGCCACAAGGGCACACTGCTGGCTCATGGCCAACCTGTCGTCCACCAGGACACCCAGGTCCCTCTCTGCAGAGCTCCTCTCCAGCAGGTCATCCCCCAACCTGTACCGGTGCATGGAATTATTCCTCCCTAGGTGCAAGACTCTACACTTGCTTTTGTTAAACTTCATCTGGTTCCTTACTGCCCAGCTCTCCAGCCTGTCCAGGTCTCGCTGAATGGCAGCACAGCCTTCGGGCGTGTCAGCCAATCCTCCCAACTTCGTATCATCAGCAAACTTGCTGAGGGTGGCCACTACCCCCTCATCAAGGTCATTGATGAAGATGTTGAACAGGACCGGTCCCAGCACCGACCCCTGGGGAACACCGCTGGTTACAGGTCTCCAACCAGACTCTGCACCGCCAATGACAACCCTCTGTGCTCTGCCAGTCAGCCAGTTCTCAACCCACCTCACTGTCCACTCATCTATCCCGCACTTCCTCAGCTTCGTTATAAGGATGTCGTGGGAGACAGTGTCAAATGCCTTGCTGAAATCAAGGTAGACTACATCCACTGCTCTCCCCCCATCCACCCAGCCAGTGACAACATCATAGAAGGCTACCAGGTTGGTCAAGCACGACCTCCCCCTGGTGAACCCGTGCTGACTACTCCTGATAACCTCCTTTTCTTCCAGTTGTCTGGAGATGGCATCCAGCACAATCTGTTCCATCACCTTTCCAGGGACAGAGGTGAGGCTGACTGGCCTGTAATTACCTGGATCTTCCTTCTTGCCCTTTTTGATAAGCAATGAATTTTTAGAATAGATACACATGACTTGGAGAATTAGGTTCCCAAGTAGAGGTACAAATTTCCTTGGTAGGAAAGTTGTTGATTTATGTGAACTTCTGTTTAGTTTTTTTTTTTCAGTGATGTAGCTTATTTTTGATGTTTTCAGTCCCTTCCATAATGCTAAAATGGATGGTGAGGGATTTGGGCTATTTGAACACAAGAAGTGAAGTGCTATAGCTTAGGACTTCAGTAAAATGCTTCTGAGATGAGAAGAATGCTTCTGTTGGTGTCTGCTGGTAAATTGGTCATTTCTTTTATTTGAACAAAATAGTACATTAGAAGAAGGCTGAAAATATGATGCTTCAAAGAAGAATTAATAAGCGTGAAGATGGAATCCCATCAACTAGTGTTTGTGCCTATATTTGAAAAAAAAAATAGATTTCCTCTTGATGTTTTTCTCCTGTTTTCACAGGAGAAATATTAGTATCAAAGAATGACAACTGCTTCATCAAGCGGATGCTTTGTGCAGGAGGTCATAATTTACAGCTACCAACTTTATTGAACTCTTCCTTACATTTCATCCATATTTGTAAGTTTATCATTTATTGCAAAGAGATGGAAAGACATGCAGCTATGGAAATAGGTGCTTCTAGTTGATTTAGCAGGTACCAGAACCCAAGGGACTCTCCTGAGCTCAGACTGATGCCTGACTGGCTTTGTGATATTGAGAGTCAGTGTTGCTTAGCTCTAGAAAGGCAGCTATGGAAAAGAGAATCTGTGCTGCTAAATGATAGCCTAAGGAGAGCATTTGAAACCCCAACAAATAAAAAACCCACCTGTTAGGAAGCTGTATAGGGGAGATCTTTTGGAGACTTCCAGTGAAACATTTTGCTGGCAGGTTATGTGAAGCTTGGGGTAGGAGAAAAAAGGCAGGACAGGTGGAAGACCCGTGCTTTCTGCTCCATCTCAAGATGTGCTGAGCTAGGTCTGTAACCGACATAGCTTGTGGATCACAAACAACTGTAGTGATAGTAAATACTAAGAATGTTGGAGAATACAGACTTACAAAACTCGTTGTCTAAACAGAGAAAAATTGTTCTTTTTGTATTTTTAACGTTGTGGATTTACCAGGCCTTTGATCTCTTCCAGTCTTTTAGGAGTGGGAAGACAACTTAGGTTTGATGTTTTGTGTGCCATCAACTGAAACTGGGGCCATAATGAATATAACGAAAGGTGGACTGGTGCTGTTTTCAGCTAATTCCAATTCTTCATGCATGGAACTATCAAAGAGAATTGCTGAGTAAGTAATATCTGCCTGCAGGGCAGTCTAGGACCTCTGTGTCTTTATGATGGGACTTGTTTTAGTAAAGGCTGATTTTCTCTTTTGTTATGTGAGATTTTATTCCTGAGATTTATGTGCCAAAGCTAGTAGAAAGGAGTTTTGCATGGGAAGGATTTGGGCATGTGTACCTATCATATCCTGCTTTCTGCTCTTAGAGGTCTTTGCTAATATTGAAATGGAATAAACTCAGCAGGCTTTTATCTTCCTTTATTCATTGAATAGAGCTCACCAGTATTTTCCATTTACTTTAGATTGATGTTTTTCTTTGGAAAAGAGTGCTTTAAAAGTGGCCTTTTGAGTATTGTGAATGTTTATGTTGTCAACTTTGCAGATTTAGAAACAGTGCAGTGTATGTATAATGCGTGTAAATATATAAGAATGAGAAATTGCTACATAATTTAATAAGCAGTATTTTTATTCCATTGGTTGTTCTGAGCTTGACTTGAAAATGAGTTTAGCTTAACCTGCAGTGTGGCTGCATCAAGAGATTTCCACTGCAGTTGTTGGTTTCAGGACTCGTGGTTTTCTTTTCCTGTTTTTCTCCTCAAATACAGCCTTTTCAGTAGCTATTGCACTGTGAGCTCTTCACTTGTTTTACCTTTCACTTTTTCATATTCTGGTTTATTTTTTCTCTTCCTGCAGGCGATTAGGAGTTGAGATGGGGAAGGTTCAGGTTTATCAAGAGCCAAACAGAGGTGAGCATTTAATTGGCAAAACTGGAATCTTACCTGTCTACAACGTGCATATATTGGCTACCCTTTTCTTGTTTCTTGTTGCATTTTGCTCCTGCAAATCTTACATAGTTCTCTTCTTGACAGAAACGAGAGTACAAATTCAGGAGTCTGTGAGAGGAAAAGATGTGTTTATCATCCAGACGGTTTCTAAGTGAGTAACTGTTTAAAGGCACTTCACTGTATTTTGATGTAGGCTGTCCATAAGAATGCTTCTGTTTTAACTTTTCATTACATCATATATATGTGATACAGTATAAGGTTAGATTTATATATATCTTTAATACATGGACAGAGAAGACTTAATTATAAGCTAACATCAATTAATTTTACTTTCAGTGAAAATATCATTGAAACTTTCCCCATGGCCTCTCTGAGTTCTTCCGCATTTTTCTGCAAACCATGTCCTTTGAATTCCTTCCTTTTCAGTACCGTGGCTCCAGCACCATTACAGGCTTCTAGAAGTAGGAGAAGCATTTCCTAGGCAATGTGTTTGGTGATACAGAAAACCATTTTGTTGTTTTGAAAAGAACTTTACACATGTGAAGACTTTTTTTAAAATTTCTAGTAGCTAGAGAACTAGTAGGTCTCTGAGTTGATGACTAGTTCCCATCTGCAGAGATGCCCTCCCTGTCTTTTCATTTAGAGCACAAAACAGATGGTAGTTACAGAATATTTAGCCTGTTGTTGGCTTAAACAAAAGGGAAATATATTGCAAAACAGCTTTTAAAATTAAAGCTATGTGTGTTGAAAAATATATCTATTTTGTACACAGTAGGAATAAATGTTGGGGATAGATTCATTGAATCATTAATGTTGGAGAAGACCTCTAAGATCATTTAGTTCAACCATTGAAAAAAACAGTTGTGTAGTTGTTACAACACTGTTCTGTATTACTAAAGGCCTGAAGGTAGTATAGCAAAAACTGCTGAGTTGCCCCAAAAAGTGAAAAAAAATTCCAGTGAAGAATTACAATGGTAGGTACAGGATACTTGCATCCTTAGGTGCACAACTGGATTCTTTCTGAAGATTGCTCTGACACCACTCTCTACTACAGTGGAGTGAAATCTCTGTGGCATGTACAGGTGTTACCTTGAACTCAGCTGCAGGATTTTTATTCTTGGATACAAAACCAGATACTTCTCATTGCAGGGACGTGAATACTACGATCATGGAACTCCTGATCATGGTGTATGCCTGTAAAACATCCTGTGCCAAAAGCATTATTGGAGTGATTCCTTACTTCCCCTACAGCAAACAGTGCAAGATGAGAAAAAGGGGCTCCATTGTCTCTAAATTACTGGCTTCAATGATGTGCAAAGCTGGTAAGGATGGAGATTGTTATGAAATAATCGGGGCAATGGGGAATCATATGCTCAGCATTCAGATTGAAAGAGGTCACTGTGCAAGTTGAGACTTTTATTAAAAATAATGTCAGTTTTTTGTAAGTTTAAAATGTGCATAAAAGGGTATAATCAGAGAGATCTCCAAATGAGAAGTTCAAGAAAAAAAATGCAGCATCCACTTCACGTTGCATCCTGCTGTGCAGACAGGATGAGTGTGCCACTTCAGGTCATGCTCTCTCTCCCTCACAGTGCTGTTCTTTGCCTTTCTCAATCTTAAACAGTCGTGCTTTCTCATTTCTAGTCTCTCTTTTACCTATTGGAGAGTGTACTTTGTCTCTTCCTTACATTTGAGTTGATGTGGGAGAATGTGATTATTTATTGTTAGTCCTCAACAGATTTTCTTTTCTGCTTCTTTCCTTCTACTCCTGTCCCTGGGAAGGATATGCAGTAACAGTGTACCCTGGGATCTGTTTCTTATTTTGAAAGAAGAAATGTGGCAATGGGTAGAATTCGGATCCATTTCTCAGGAGTTCAGAACTCAGATGTTTGTTGTGCTAGGCTCATACTGTGTGGCATAGATCCATTCATCTCGTTTGTGGTTCCATTTTGTCACGTGTCAAATGGAAAAGGATCACACCTGCCTCAGTGTGGCACTACTGATCCAGTTATGTAGGTTGTTCTGAGGCATCTGGAAGTGTGGCAACCCCTGTTATCTAAAAGAGACATAGCTAATCTGCTATGTACTTTTAGTTACCATAGCAGCTTACAGAGCTTGTTTTGAAAAAAGAAACTTGTTAAATTGAATAGAAAAATAATGTTCTTCATGTGCTTCTCCATATGTCTATTTTATTTTATTTTGTTTCTGAAGGACTAACTCATCTCATTACCATGGATTTGCATCAGAAGGAAATACAGGGCTTCTTCAATATTCCGGTTGATAACTTGAGAGCATCTCCATTTTTACTACAGTACATCCAAGAAGAGGTGAGAAAGCCATTCTATTACAGCCTTTTGTTTCTTTAATTTTTTTTTTTGTCACGTCTCAAGGCTCTTGATGCAATTCCTGTGAAAAGATTAATTCTTCAAACAGATTTTGAAAGGATGAAGTGTCATTTTGGGGCAGAAATTGTGTAGTTGGTTCTTCTGCCCTGAGAGGACTGAGATTTTCTTTCATGAAGAGCTGGTATTTTATTATCCATGTAAGGTTGCTGTTCTATCTCTTAGACATGTTCTTCTAATTCATATTTTTAAAAGAGCATTTTTCTATTCTGGTTGTCCTCTTCCTTTCCTGTTTCCAATTTCCTTGCCATTTACAGGATGGAATGCTTGTGTGGGTGTAATTGATGTAGTATTATGAAAATATTTTGTAGGTTAACATGTAAATGATGGAAGTTTGTCCATCATGATCTGAAAATAAGGACAGATTATTTTGCGGGGAAATCTCCTGCTGTTTGTTCAGGACATCTTGGCTTGAGCGTGACTTCTGATGCTGTGTGCATCCAGTTCTCTGTCTTTTGAAATGGATATTACTTTTAGAAAGTGCTTTGAGAAGTGCTGCTGGTAGATCCATATATACAAATCGTGCAGTTGATAATTGTAGGTATAAGATGTATTTTATGTCTTGACTAATTATAATTTTGGAAGAAAGTAATTGTTTCTTTTTAACCCACACCTTTTCATTTACAGAGAGATAAATGCCTCGATTTAAAAAAAAAAAAAAAAAAAAAAAAGCAACTAAGAACAAAAAATCCCACCATGATTGTTAAGACTCCTGCTAGAGAATCATTTCCCAGCTGTCAGACATTATTTGGTACTGTAGTCCTAGCACAAGGGAAAGCTGTAGAACAAAACTCTGGGCTCTTGGCTTTGGCACCATCCTTCATCTCACCATTTCACCATTCTTCTACAGCTGTACATTGTAATCACTGTGTAAGTTAGAGAAAATAAAGTAGAAGACCAAGTGGATGGATTGAGGACAATTTTTGCACTGCATGTCACTTGAGCCTGTTGTCTATAGATAACGAGGTCAGGGTGTGTTTTTGTCTCTAAGCACATTTTGATACCTGATTGTCAGAATGATTTACAAGGAATTGTTGCACCTAAGTCTGTTACTACTGCTGCATTCTAACCAATGAACATCCACAAAGCACTGCTGAGGTGGATGTGGAGAGGACTTAAAAGATATTTTGTTTTTTGTTCCTTCCTTCCTCTGCTTGTTGGAGATGACTTGCTAGAAGTGAGGTTGACTGAAGCAGTGTGGTCACCTGGGTTTTATACTGGCAAGTTTCTCTAGCTGAATTGTGTTTATTATCCCTTTGTAAAAGATTCTTCCAGTGTTGCTCAGAAAGAATTCAATATTCTTCTCAAGTTCACCGTGGCTGCTGCATCTCCTGCACTGTGAATGGCACAGAGTGGAAAATGTTTAGGATGGGAGTTGTGGTGGGATCTACTGAACAGCATGAAATAGAATCCAGGTTGATAAGAGCAAAGGTCACTTACAAAGCATTTAACTGAAAGCTGGGAGGATGAGGCCTTGTAGTTGTTCACTGTCAGGAATTTATGCACAGGAGTGAAGGAATTATTTGGTGCTCTGGGATGAGGTCAGTGCAATCAGTGAAATCCATGTGGAATGAAGATAATTTGGTGGTTTTCCTTTGTATGCCTAGCAAATATTTATAGTTATTGTCTTCTTTCCTATGTGCACATGTTAATCTTAGAGTGATTTGCCAATCTCAGAGTGATGTAGCTCTTTGTCACTAGCAGCTGTTGATGTTCTGTTGTCTCTTGGATGACATTTCTGGCTTTCTGACTTCGTTTTTGAAGAGATGAGAACAAATTCAATAATTTGGCAGGGGAAAAGTGAGGCAATGATGTTTGAACAAGATCAAAGCCTTTATTATGTCAAATGACAGGCCCTGCCTTGTCCGTACCTTCCAACATGTTCATCTTCCTAGTCTGTTGTTTGACTTAGCATGTTCTGTCCTTTACAAATGCTGAATTCCCACTGTTGTAGGTGGAGTTGGTTGTGCTGCGGATTATTAATGTTTCCTGTCACATCCTCTGAAAAGCCCTTGTTTTCAGTTGTTAGGTCCATGCCAAAATTCAGTACTTAAGTAAGTATGGAAAAAAAGAATTCTTTCAGATAGAATGTTTTTGGAAATACTTGGCCAGTGCGGTTTGTGTGTCTGAGGATAAGGTTGTGGAAGAACTTAGCTTGCTTGTGGTTGTGAGAAAGAAGTATTTCCATGTTTTGGAGGTATTTGACATCTGATAGTGAGGCCACAAACTCTGTTTCAGGGTACCGTTTCCTGGTTTTGCTAAATGACAGCTCTGGCAGAACAGTTTGCAGGTATTCATTAGCAGCTCTTGAGACCTGTAACACTGGGGTTCTCCAGGGATTGGATCTGTTCTGTAGGACTTGTTATTGCAGCTGAGAGTGGCCATGGAGTCTTACAGCTGCTACAAGACCAGGCAGGTTCTTTACCTGCTGCGCTCCGTGGCAGACTGATTGTCCCAGGAAAATGCTGAGTTTGCAAGGAAGGGACTGCAGTGAGAGGAACACAAAGTGCTGTTGGAAAAGAGGTGAGAAAGGACTGGTAAACGTAGATGGTGGAATGCTTGAAACTGGGCGAGGAAAGATTGGTCTGACAAGGAGTCAGCTTTGGAAGGGAAAACAGGAGACTGAGATGAGAGATGGAGACTAAAATACTGGCTAAATGAAGTGAGAGTGTCAGAGAAGAAAAGCCAGTATGACAGTGAGGCAGCAAACCTGGGAGGGATGGTGCATGTAAAGACTGACTCATGTACCCATAGACATTGAAATGAAAACCAAACTTCTTGGTCTTGCCACTTTGCTGCTGTCAGCATCTGGAGCGGCGTCCTCACGCTGACCTACAGAGAGGACATAAACTGTGGCTCCAGGATCAGAATGTTGAATGTAAAATTTTAAGCCTTTTGATGTAAGGAGTTGGTGTGGTGTGATGGAGTGGCCTGTCTTTTTTTTTTCTTTTTTTTTTTTGCATGTAACTGGAAGAACAACTCCACAAATGAGGAAAGATGAAATATTGTGTTTTAAGTGTTGAAAGACTGCTGTGTGGATTTGCAAGACAATTTAAACAGGACAGGAAGCTTTAGTTTTCATGGTTTCCTGTTTTTTAACATTTGCCTTTGTAGTCTGCATATTATTCTAAGGCAGTTACTTTCGTGTAATGTGTGTATAACATGATATGAATGAAAGGTGGAATTTTGAGCTAAAAGTCTGAATTTGCTTAATGGCTGGGCTTACTGAGATGTGAAGTTCTCATCACATACTGTGGATTCTTGAGGTTTCTTTCTTATGTTAGGTAAAACATTCAATGTTTAAAATTCTTTTGGCAAAAAAAAAAATTTTGATTCTTACTGAGTTTAAATCTGTCTGAAGATACAAAGTAGACATTGCTATCTGTTATTTACTACAGATACCAGACTACAGGAATGCTGTAATTGTGGCCAAATCACCTGCGTCTGCAAAGAGGTGGGTAAGATCTGCTCTCTTGTAAGAGCAGGAAATCTCTGTTGTGATTTTGCTTTTCAGATCAGGTGAACCTAAACGAGTTCAGCAATTAGAAGATGCAGCCCACACCCCCTGCCACTTAGACTGTCAGATGTGTAGTGTTTACCACGTGTGGTAAATCAATGCAGTGCTTAGTATTAAGAAGCTATTTATTCATATTTTTCTGTGTTAACATCACGGATTGCCTGTTGTGAATGAAGCAAAATGGCTAGAAGTAGAACACCATTAATCCAGAGTAATTGCTTAACACGATCACAGCTTAGAGCATTGTTATCAGATCCTAAATAGGATGGCTTATTATCTGGCATGGTGGGGTGGGATTTGATGGCTGAGGCTGTTTGATGTGAGAAGTTCTTGTTGCCCAAACAGTTGTTCTTAATTCCTGGAGCTTTTTGGTTTGCTATACCTGAGCTCTTTGCAGTTATGCTACTCAGAGAGGATGGCAAAGAGCTGGTTGGTGATTTAAGAGATACTATTTTTGCTGTAGTGACAAACTAGTAATTTGCTGAGAAGTTATGTAGGCTTAAGCCAAGACTTTTTTGATTGTCTTCATAAAAAAGGTTTTCACTGTTTTACATAGTAAATCAGAAATGTTTTAGTTTGTAGAAGTATACTGGGGACAATGACTTTTGTCATCTTTGTTTCCCAGTGGTTTTTATGTGACTTGTTTTGATTTTGATGGTTATTTTACATATGCTTTATTTCATTTATTTGGTGTCAGCATTGACTCGTGGGTCTAGATACATTTGTTGAAACATTTTCATGCTTGCCAAGTAACTGCATATGCCAGCAAATAGTTTGTCATACCGTTAGTAGATCAGTCAGTCAGCAGATGTGTAGAAAAGGATCCCAGAGCTGTATTTGTTTAGTTTCTTCACATGTATACAGATGCATTTCAGAACAGTGCTTGAGGAGACGTGTTGTATTCAGAAAAGAATGGTTGAATGGTTTATCCTAATAAAGGAAAACATTCTCTGGATGAATGTCTGCTTTGACAACTTTTGCTTGAAGGAGTTCAGGATGTTTCTGCAGTTTCTGAGTTCAGTGGAAAATGAATAAATCTCTTTAGTGCTGTTTGAACTTCATTCGGTGTAATATTGTGGTTTTTAAATGATTGATAAGTTTATATGATTATGCATTTTAAGTCACAACTCTTGAACTATTTGGATTTGGATGGATAATTTATATGCATTCAACTTTTTGAAAAACTACGATAACCACAGTGCAGAAAATTCTTTGTTTTTAATTAGCAGAGCATCACAATGAGCGAATTATTCTGTGGACTTTGAGTTGTTTGGATAGTGAAACAAGGCTTGAATGTAAAGGAGGTAATTCAGGCCACAAGTCTCAGGTACTAAGGTTAGGACAACGTGTTTTGCTTTGCATGTGCTGGTCTCACTTTGACCAGAGGGAGATCAGATCAGTGTGTCAGCTGGGTACTGAGCTGGGTGTGCAAGGTAAGGCAGGTTGAATCCCACTGCTGCATTTGTCTTTGCTGCTGTCAGCAGCTGGGATGCAGGCACTGGCTGTGAATTTCCTATTTTCCTGCCTCTCTGCTTTTCCCACTCCTTCAGCTGACTTCATACTTCTTTACAGAAATTCTGAATTCAAGAAAATACTGCATGGTGAAGGAGCTTCTTGTAAGTTTGTAGATTGCTGTTTAAATTTCAAGAGCTGTTTGTTAGGCAGCGTCATTGTTTGATGTCTCTTCAGTAGGGTATCTAAGGCTATGTGTCAGAAGGTCAGGGATACTGCCTTCCTTAGTCCACGTCTTGCTAAAAATAAGTAGGTGAACAGTTGTTTATATTTCATTAAACATAGGCAGTCCAGATATTCTTGATGATGGTTATGTGTCAGCAGCTGAAGCACAGGATCTCAAGAATGCTGAAGGCTAGAAAGTTGTTTT